TAGAAGAAATAGTCAACTGCTAGAAGTGAGTCAAGTGAATTCCATAATGAATCTTCAACTGAAGACCACGTACAGTATTTACTACTGTATTTTTTGGAGGCATACCCATTATTGTCTGTAGGTATGCTACAACAATTAACATAACAGTCTTTTTATTAAAAAATAAAAGTATTTGCCAAAAAATCAAATCAAAATAAAAGCTGTCATACCATGCCCTGACTATTACGAAGGCCAGAACTAGCTTTCTTATATTAAGGTATTCCATTCTAGCTGACCTGGGGTTAGTTTAATTTATTAGCAAAAATCTCTAATTTGTCATTTTCTAAATGTTTCCCAAATTTTTTGTTTATCCCAGTTTCTCATGCCATTGATTAGAAAATTTCTTACTGCTACTCTTGGTGTGGTTTCATACTGTCTACATTAAATGGATTCCCGCAATCAATTAATATTACCTATGTTTTTTTAGGACCAAGGTGTAGCCCTGGGAGACACCTGTGCTAGTACAAAAGGATCTAGACAAGTGGCTGTGTTGGATAACTTTCCTTTCACGATTTCAGGACTGGATCAATTCAAAAATGTGTCTTGAGACACAGTAACTTTTTAGCTTGTGAAGAAGACCTCTATGCCAAGCTGTCAAAAGCTTTCAAGATGTCCAAAGCTTCACTGTTTTTATCTAGAGTATGATAGACTCTATCTGCAGTTACCATCAGCATTTAACCTGGAGAAATGAAAGCCATATTACTTGTCTGAAAAAAGGCCCTGTAATGAGAGATGATGAACTAATTCGGCATTGATTAGGGATTCTAGGAAAAATCATTTTCCATTCAACCATACATTTTCAAATCTCAGTTTATTTCCCTATTTTCTTGTAAAATGGCTGCCTGTCCATCTCATGAACAGGAAAATTTAGTAATTGACAACAGTGATCTATCATTTTGTTCACAAAGAAATCTATTTTTTCTGTTTTTTTCGTCTAATTTTTCAGCTGTCTGGCAAAACATTACTAAGCTCTGTCACAGTCCAGATCTGTTTCCCTTCAATTACTGGTATTTTGTGCAAAAATTAAAATTACCATTGAGAAGGTAGAGATTTAGATGAAATTAAGGAGAATGTGACAATGGAGCTGACAGTGGACCTGAAAGAGAACTTTTAGACAGTTTTAAAAAGTGGAACAGATACTGGAGGCCTCAAGGTAAATACTTTCAATAAGTATAAGTCATGTCAATGGTTGGAAGTTGAAATACAGTGTTCCAGTCATATCAATGGTTGGACTGGATGTGTCAGACAGGAATGGGAAGCTGGCATTGTAATGGTGTTGGTCAGATCCAGTGTCCGGTGCTGGCATTGCATCTCAGCTGGTTGAGTTTGATGTTAAAACTTCCCATAGCATACAGGACAGGTTATTAAGAGTCAGGCTGTCACGCGGGTAGCAAGCAGGGACAGAATGCCAGGAGTAGAATCAAAATTTGAATTGGACAAGTCAGTGTCTTATATTAAGCGAGAACAACAACAATGACAGGTCTTTCAAAATATTAAAAATCTCAAGGAAAAATAAACCGAGATTTGCTACAAAAAGTGAAGGTGTAAGAATGGCCAGGAAGCATATTACAACTAGGTTCATAATACAAAAGGTACTAAAAAGTCATTAGATCAATTCTAAAATGAAATGCATTTAAATTACATAGTGTGTAGGGAACATGATGAAAAGTTCAAGGTCAAAGTTCCTGTTTGGGAGCGGCCAACAGTGGCTGTGACAAAAGATCTAGTTATTTTTTATGAAAAGCATATAAAATTGATTGGATTAGTCACTATTTAAACCTTTCTTGTATTACTTTTATATATTACTTTTTGTTTTATTCTAAAAATGCAAAGGTGATGTATTAGATTTGATGAGTCCCAGCAGAAATAGTATTATAAAAACCAGACATTTTGAAGCTTTCAGTGAGAACATGGCTGCAGGTTGAGCAGAGTAGAACCACACTTTGGGCAAAACTGACCAGCAGATTCCAGAGTTGTTCAGCCAAGTCCACAGGAGAACTCCGAGAAGAGTTATCACTTAGATTTGAATCAGAATATGCCTAAGAACTGACTAGACCAACTGCTAAACCCATGATCATGTACCAACCTAAAACAAACAATTAGACACCCAGAGTGAGCAACTAACAGCCCAAGTTTTAAGGTATAATCATCCATCACTCCCACAGTTTTTGAAGCTTGTATTTTTTTCTAACATTATCTTGTATAAATGAGTCGTTAAAGTTGAAAAGTGTTGTCATCTCTCTCATTAAATTAAAGCCGCCATTAGCCATGGTATACCAACTCTTCTAGTTGATTTCTGGTCATTTGAGATAAGTCACAATGTAAGTATTTGACTGGACTTTTTGACAATTGTAGAAGTCACTGCAACCAACAGTTGATGGAAGAAATCTGATATTGACAGCCATGGATATTCCCTGAGCCCTTTAGCTCATTGGCTGTCCAAACAGCATTATAGAAGAATAATGAATTTCGGTGAACTGAAAGACAGGAGATGGCCTTCAAAAAGCTAAAGGAAGCACTTAGAAACAAGCCACTAGTTAAGGTATTTGACCTGATGAAAGAACTCACACTAACTACTGAAGCTAGTGAAAGTGCCATAGCAGCGATATTATCACAAGAAGGACATCCAATTATGTATTTATCCAGAAAGTTGACAGCAGCAGAAATGAGTTCTTCTAACATTGAAGAAGAAGCACTGGCAATTGTCTGAAGTACTGAAAAGGCATGTAATTTGCTATTGGGCAAGAAACTTTTACTAAAGTTGGACCACAAGCCCTTAGAGTTCATTTTAAACCTGGGAAAGAGTTGCTTAAAATCATTTTGTCCAGAATTTAGAGGTGGGTGATTAAGCTTATGGCATTTGATTTCCACATTATGTGTAGTAAAGGAAATGCTATTCCACATGTAGCCACATTGTCAAGATTGGATTTTAATATCCAGAATGTTGAAACAAAGGACAGTTGTGAAGACAGGATTTTACATTGGGTAGTAACAGATCTGTTATCCTTCAGGCGACTCAAGTTTGAAACCAAACAGGATCTTGTATTAAAGAGTGCTTGATATAATATGGAAGAATATATGGAGCAATTGCTCTATGACAGAAAGGCCTTTTAAGGAAGCAAGGCACAGATTGACAATTGAAAGAGGAATTATATATAGTGGAGATCATATTGTACCACCGATGTCATTAAGAAAAGATGTTATTAAAGCAGTACATGACAATATACATGATGGTGTACTGAACACACAAATGAGGTTGAAACTACAAACTTGGTGGCCAGGGTATATGTGAGATGTGGAAGATTATGTCAGAAAATGCCCTAAGTGTGCAAAGATAAAAAAAACTTTAGGCAAACTAAGATTCATTCATGGTCAAAAGAGAAAGAGCTATGGATAAAAGTAGACATGGATCATGTATAAATTAAAGATGTAAGCCCATTCCTCATATTAGTGGATTCATATTCAGGTTGGCCTGAAGTGGTTAAAGTTCCGGACAGAAAAGCAAATACTGTAAAACAGGTGTTAAGAGTAGTATTTTTGAGGAACGAAGTACCCAAGACATTAATATTGTATAATACACCACGGTTTGCTGAAGAAAGCTTATGTACATGGTTAACATGAATTGGATGTAGGCCATACAAAACATCCCCCATACCATCCTCAGTCAAATGGAATTGCAGTGAGGATGATCCAATGATAAAAGTGGGACTGAAAGCATTCTTTCTAGGGAATTGCAGCTTAGAAAGTAATCTACTAAGGTTGTTTTTAAGTTACAGGACCATCCTGCATGCAGGCAGAACACAAAGCCCTTCAGCATTGATGGAGGAGGCAAATTAGAACCCCAATAACCATGTCCTCCTCAACGAATGAGAATGTGTGGTACAAAAGAACTAAGGGTTTGAATCCTGAGAAAGCACAATTTGTAGTGGAAAATGGATATAATATGATGTATTAACAAAAAATGGACAGGGTATCTTAGCTCATGAAGATCAGTTTAGATTGTAAAGAAAGCCAGAAGATATTGAAATGGAGGAAAAACCTGATGCAGAAGAGAGGGATCAGAATTATCACTAAGAACTGGGGAGTGAAGGGGAATAGAGAATGAGTGTGTCTAGTGATAATGAGGAATGGAAGATGATTCAAATGAAGAAAATCCAGTAAGATCAAGATCTCCCATAAAGAGGAATCTAGGCAATCATCATGAGACAAGCAGTATACCTCCTGGAGTGATTTGTAAAAGTAGCAGAGCTACCAAGGTCATAAAGCCTCTAAGGTCCCAGGAGATGTAGTGATATGCAAATGAGATGCTATATAAGTGGGAAGAGTTCTACACGGGGGGTAGTTATCTCCCCTTGATTACATTGCTTACTTATGAGGAACTATATACGACACAGCACAATGATTAGAAAAAGAAGCTGAATAAATTTTTTTTTATATATTTCATATCTAATTTTTATCTTGGCAAACTTTTCCAGTGGTGATACATGTCATATCTATAAAACTGATTAATAAGCAACTGATATTTGTTTACAATATTCAAAAAGTAATTTATGTCGAGAAAAAATTGATAAATAGAAAAGTTGTTTATATTTTTTACTATAACATCACTTAGGCATTGTATGTGGTGGTGTAAATCTGGTCACTTATTGTGGAACTGAGGTAGTAGAGTAAATTATCCTGCAAGTTTTCTTTTTAATTTATGAAAAATGATTAAATTGTTATGTGATTAAATAGTTTTATTATCAATAAGGTGTTATTTTTTTTAACAACACCATGGTCATTGCTACAGAGTTGGTGAACAGAGAGCTGTTACAAAGGCTACCAGATTAAAAACTAGCTAGCTGAAAAAAATAAAATATTGTCATTTATTCATGGAAACTGGATAAATGATATAGTACCCATATGAAAATAATAAAACTAAGTAATACTAAATATGCATAAAATAATAAATGAACACATACCATATGCTTCAGCTACTTCTGTTCCACGCTTAGCCTGACATTTTACATACATAAAATTCTGAGCTTGAATGGTGCCTCTTAAAGAGGAGAGAAGGTTCTCACTGCATATTTTTGGAGCACTCATATTAACTGGGATTACCTGAAAAAATAAATGACAAAAAGTATACATTATAGTCATAATTGTATTAGTCAGTGTTTCTTCTATGTATTTTGTCCCTTTAACATGTAGGTGATCATACCTCTCCACAATTTCCTATCCTTTGCAACTCTGCCAACTATTTATACAAGCTCTTTAGGTAGGTTATTTGTCATTTTCCTATTGCTTTCAATATCTTTCTTTAATATGTGCTCTAGAAATAGGATGATTTGGTTCTAATTAGAAGTGTCCATTTTGTTTCCATTACCCTTAAAACTTTGTCATTGCTCACATGTTCAGTTCATGGTATTCTCAACATCCTTCTATAAAAAAATTAGTATAGGAGATAAAGAAATTGAACATAGAATAAACCAAAACATTAACCTGAAAACTCTAGTCATGTTCTTAAATAGCCTTGTCAGGTTGAGATTTTCATATGGCTGTCATGCATAGAGACAACCCCATTCAGAAATATCTAAACTGTCAGCTTAATAGAACACCTTTCTCAAGGATCAATGGTTGTAAATGTCTTTGAGAGTGAAACCTGTGGGTTTTGATGAAAACTAACCTTTGAACTTTGTGGACTGGTGCTACAGAATCAGAAACAAAGAACAGTATTAAATAATAGAAACAACATGATTTGAGGACTTTCAACAGCAGCAACAACTAAAATGGCCATCACATGTAACTCAAAGAGAAAATAATGGCATAATCAAGATGTTGACATTCCACACAACTTCAAACAAAAGGTGAGGAAGGAATCCCCCCTCATTACTGGAAAGAGTGATAACAACTACTGGACTTGAGAAACTTAACTTCTTGAAAAATATTTTTTAAGAGAAAGATCATATAAATTTCAATGAACAGCACCACTGACTGCTTGGCTAATGAATGACAAATGTAGAAAACCATAAGGAAACAGCTAATATTACAATTACCATTACAATTCTGTAGAAATATATTTTTTTTAAAATTTAAGTTTCTCAAACTAGCCATCAACATTTTGACTGAATCTGAATAGTGTTTATTTTTTTTTTCATCTATCACAATTAATTTGAAAAAATGAAAGAAAGCAGTTACTTTGATTTTAAATATAAATGTTTAGAATTTTTCATTTTTCTTGTTAAAGTGGCTTGATAACATAATGAATTGTTATTAATTTGCATTCTCTTTTTCTGTAGCCCATATAAAGATCCCCATTCAAACTCACTATCACAAGCACAAAAAAAGTGGGGATATAAATGTAGTAACTTTTCTAAATGCAAGTTTTTCAAACCAGTCACTAACATTTTGACTCTTCAAATCTGAATGGTATTTATTTTATTTTTTCTTCTATCACTTAACTTGCAAAATTGTCAGTGTGGTTAACATAGTACAAATGAAAAAGAAACAGAATTTTCTAATCTTAGTTTACTTGAAACAAGTCCACAAGTGTGGGACATACAGCAAGAATTTAATGCACTAATTAGTAATAAAAACTAGTTTGCTAATCCTTGCTTTATAATGAAACACCCATTAACATTACATTTTTTGCAATGTCATGCTTCACAAACTGGTCTCATGAATTATTACAACTGTGCAGTTAGTTTGATCCTCACTGGATGTCCCATTCTTGTGACCCAGTACCAAAACTAAACTGTAGCACTTCTAAGTGTCTCAGTTCAGTGTATAGTTGGTGAGATAATCTGGTTAATTAATCATGTTAATGGGGTAAATATCATCATGTTGGAGTAGCTGAATAATGGTGGTTAATAATATCACATTGAGTACAACACCAGTTAATGGGGATTAAATAATATGTCATATCACCAGAAGCTATGAAAGAAAGAAATAGTCTCCGAGTTTGTATTTTCCCTATTATTAACATTACTATATCTATGATATAATAATCTCTTATTTCATGGATGGAACAGAATAGTTAAAAGGAAGGTAATGACAAATATACTTTGTGCATGCAACAGCACTGTTTAGTCCAGCCAACATCGTATCCATTTTGTGCTGGAAAAATAACTAGGATTACTTTTACACCAAAGGGTGATCTTCTAAACATGTAAAGTTTGTTATGTGTATTAATAGTCAAATACTTTTGGTATTCCTCATCCACTTCAATTTGAAGATATATCTTAGACAGGTTAAATTTTGAAAAAAAATTCTGAAGTATATGAATGTAATGTTTTCTTCTGGGCCATAATTAAATTCACTTAGCAACTGAGTTCAGCGAAAATTATATTGACATATGCTTGTTTCTTTTTATTCTCAATATTCAATCTGCTCCTGCTGCATTTGTTGTGATAGTTGCTGAATAAATATCTTCAATTCTTCCATAGTGTATTATGTTCATATAAGTAGTCCTTATCTAGGAAGAAAAAGTTGTTTTGTTTTTTTTTCCCTAATCACAGTATGTCATACAACCTTAGAGTTTATTGATCTCCGTGTAGCCCTATGAATATAAATGAACCCACAAAATTCTTTTCTATGAATTTTGAATTTTCTTTGCCAGCTATTTATGCTAAGTAGAAGGAAAAATTTTTTTTTCCTTTTCTTGTATGAATTTGAATCATTGTTGCCACTGTTATATTCTGTTCCATTGAATGAAGATAATGCAATCATGAAATATAATGTTGCTCTGAATTGATGTAGTCTTACTGAATTCTGTAGTAAGCATATAAAGCTTGCTTCTGACTAGCTCTCTCTTGATGATTCTCAATGTCAGTATATATGCCATTTGGATTAGTTCAAGTAATATTCAGGAGCAGTGTGTTCATCTTCACAACATGCATTTGTAGGAGTTGTCTATAAATTTGGGAAAGGGATGTTCTTAGCAGTCATTTCTAGAAGTTGGAATCAAAAGAAATATTTTATTTCTCATTAAAATAACTTCCTCTTCTCATGATAAATTGGGATATTTATTCCTATACTACTTTGCAGTGAATGTTAAATTGTTTTGAATAGGATCACTGCAAAATAGATCAATATCTTATTCAGTCATATTTACATCAACTTTTTGACACACATAAGTATAGATCAGAGCATTTGTTGTAGAGTGATAATTAACAAGCCAGTTTGTAATTTAGCATTCTAGGAAATAATATAGTAATAGTTATTTACTAAGCTTAGTTTAGATTGGCACCAGGTTACAAACTCACTACACATTGTAGAAATACAAAAGGCAATTATCACTATTTGGTTGAGATGAAGTCACATGTGTTACATAACAGTTGCTTAGTGATGTCACTTTATAGAGCAATGAAAGTGGCTAGTCAGTGAGTTAACTGCCTGGAGTCAAAACACAGGAGTTATTTGTTTTGCCTGGACCAGCCAACTACCATGTGGTGAAGCTTACAAGCCCATAGTGCCATTTTCCTTTAGAATATATCTTCATCAGATATAGAAACTATCTATGGCTTACAGTTCTCAATTTAGGAAAAACCCATTAACAATCCATTTATTCCTAATTTTCAATACAAAATATATGGAAACTTGCTGAAATAAATTTTAGGTTAAGAAAGGCAAAATTTGTTAGCTGAATTATGGAATTCCAAGTGCAAATGTTATTATGCTGATTCATAGCCTTGGGACCTGACCTTCTTGTGCCAAATATACTTACTAAATAGGTTATGATAAATTGTTCTGCAAGAGCAACCAAAAAGTACCTCTTCTATCTTTTAAGGACACTTATTTTACATAGGTTTTTTTTTCTCAAAAGATTGATAAGTATTAAGTGATCAACTTTTTGAAGAAGTATTTGCTTTATTTCTCCACATGCTAGTACAACAGAAATCTTGGCATCTACTTTGTATATATATTTTTTGTGAAATTATATATTCACTCATTAGAGGAAATCAAATTTTGGATATATTTATCTAATAAATAAATACCCATGATATCATGAGTTACATAAACATCTACTTATAAGACAGGATTATAACATCTGCTTATAACAGACAAAATTAACATACAGAATGTCATATTTAAACTGAAATAGTTCAGTGGGGAAAGTCAGCTATTTTGTCTTATTTATGATAGTTTGTCTGTAAATCTTGTCAATAATTCTATCGTAATAATCATAATTACAAATAGTCTCTGACTTACAATATTTCAAATTTACAATCAGCAAAATTTGAAAGTCATGATAAAATTTTTCATTAAAATTTCAATTTCTTTCAGGAATCAATTACTAAATATTAAGCATTTTATTAAATTGCATAAATTGAATTTTAGCACAATTTTAAAATCTGAGTGTATTTTTGGCACTGAAAATTTTCTATTTGAATGAAATATTATCAATGAAAAGATCAGAAAAGATTATACATAAATAAACAAGTAAAGGAATTACAATTTTCAGTTAATCTTTAAATTCTTCATACTTACAGTGACATTATGCATACAATTGATAACTGGTGGTGGATTTGAACAAGATGTTGTTAGTTCCCAGGAAGATGCACCAGTGCTTACAATTGTCATTTTCAAAGGTGGATTATCTGAAAATTTTAAAACAATGATTTAATAAATTTCATATAACACTCATAGTTGCAAGTTAGTTATATGGGAAGAAAAACATTGGAACAAATGATGGAGTAAAGAAGGTGTTAATCATATGAGAACATGGATTGAGAATACAATATTTTAGTATGACTGAAAGAGCTATGCCATAGCAACCCACTTTTTCCCATTGTTCCAGAAGCAGATGTTCTACTCATAGTAAATGGACAAGTCCATATTTCAATAATAGTGTAGACAAGGTTAGTAAGTCTTTCTACACAACACTTCCCTTTTTAAGATAGGCATTCTCTTTTGAATATGTATTTTCTTCTTTTGGGGTTTAATTCCAACATTTTCTGAGATTTTTTTTCTTTTACTAACATTGTGCATTTCAGTATTTATAATTGGAGTTGGCAAGTGTTGTGTAGGAACCTACCACCCCTCTTGAAGATGAACTCGTCTACAAACAAGGATGTAAAATAGTGGCATGTAAAAAGACAGTGTCGAAGAAGTTCTGAGCTGAGTTACTTATAGACTACTCAGGCGATATGTGTACCAACTTACCAACCGAATAAACCCCATTTTATTGTTACATGTTATTTGGCGTTTGTCTTTATTAACCCCAAATTAACATCATTACAGCAAGTCAAAAGAATTGTAGAACAGTTTCATCAGTAACTTTCTTTGTTGGCATTTTATTTCATTGGTATATCTTAGTTATAATTGGTTTAAATGCTTTTTATGCTGCCACTTGGTTTAAATGCTTTTTGTTTTGTGTTGCCAAATTTGACCTTGTATCATATACATCATTCTGCCAATGCAATTTACTATTTCACCATCTTACCAACTTCCTTTCTCTGCACATAAATCCTCAAGAAAACCATATTTCCAGCTTTGAAAGATGTTATTGTTAAATTGTTATTATGCCAACTTTTTATTTAGCTTTAAGGTAGTAATTTGTCAAACACTGATTTAATTTTTCTGACAAACATTACTTCCACTGGTAATATTCCCTATGCAGTATTACGATTAGGGGTCAGTCTATAAATACTAAAATCTGTTGGCTCATTATTTCTTTCATCTCCTCTCCATTTGATTTGTTTAATGCCCTTTTGAATGTCCATGAAGTAAATTTACAGTTATATTTCAAGCCATTTTGATGATAATCTAGTAATATAAACTATTCAAAAGGTCCTGCATAATAAACATGCAACCTAAACCAAGGTTTATCAGTGTTAGGCCAAAGTTGGTAATTTACATGTAGTAATCTTGCCACTAGAGTACAACCTCTGCATGACTTTTTGAATATCCTGGCCCATTTTAAGTCAATATACATAACCTCTTCTAAGGGATTTTATTGTAACGGGGAACTAAACAAACAGAAACACTGTTTCAGCTAATCTTCAGACATGGAAGTACTGAGTATTGTGTATGCATAAATAAAAAGCAGGTGTATAGCTTCTGGAGACAGAAATCACCAGACCAACTGTGTTTTCATAATTATTATAGACACCTTTACCAAGATGTGACATTTTGGCAGTAAGGAGAGATTTTTTTTCATGCAAATATGTCAACACTTGGATACATTGAATCTGGAAATATTTTGTCATATCTGGACTGTCTCAAACAGTTTTTCTTTGCAAATGACTTAGATCAGGGCCAGCAAACAGAGATAAAATGTAAAGCTATCTTACTCAGCACCATAGGCGAAAAGATGTACAGAGTCTTGGAGAATTTATATACACCCCAGAATCTGAGTGATAGAACTTTTGAGGAAATTAAGCATTTGTTGCTAGAACATTTCAAGCACAAGTATCTTGTCATTGTGGAAAGTCACTGGTTTTATAAAGCCAAACAAGAGGAGGGTGAGTCTGTTTCAAATTTCTTTGTTTGGCTTAAACATTTATTGTCAATGTGTGAATTTGGAATATTTTTAGAAGAAACATTATGGGACAAATTTGTCTGTGCATTAGATAATAAGAATATTCAAAAAAAGACTGTTAGCTGAAGACATGTCATTTGGAAATTATTACTGCTGGTATTTAAATAATATCAGCACTATTCTAGCTCCAGTGTATGCATTATTACAAAAAGGAGCCCCCTGGAAATGGGGGTATAGCTGAAAATTTTGCATTTGAATAATTGAAAAGTTTATTAATATCAGCTGATGTTTTAGTTCATTACAATCCTAAATTTAAACTTATAATGACTGTGGATGCATCCCCAGTTGTCATATATCATGGCAGATGGAAGAGAAAAACCAATTTACTTTGCCTAGAGAACATTATCAAAAGTAGAACAGAATCATGCACAGATAAAATGTGAAGGCCTAGCAGTGATTTCTGGAGTGAGCAAATTCCATAAATACATTTACAGCCAGGAGGTTACAATCGTTACTGATTATAAGCCCTTGCTTGGGCTTTTAAAAGAGGACCAAGAGATATCACACACAATAAGTGCTAGAGTACTGTGTTGAGCATTAGTACTCTCAAACTACCACAATCAGCTTGTATACAAACCTAGTTGATGATTCCCAATGCAAATGGACCAAGTCAATGAGGTAATGGAATAACCTGTCACCCCCATGAGTGTCTACACTATAGGTAGTAACTACCTATAAATATCTGTAAGTCAACGGACTACAGAGTCTAGATGGGATCTGTTGAGTACGACTCAGACTTACGTGAGAACTACTGACCTTTCAACAGTAGCACTCACTATTGGATTGACTTGTGATGACCTTGTGCATAACTGTTACCTTTATTCTTATTGTACTGGTTTTTACAATACACCTTAATTTATTTTATCCACCATGTTTTTCAAGTATATATTCCTATTAGCATGGAATATAACTGTCAACAACCTATGGAGGACTATTTTACACCATTACCTTGTCTGGAGGAAGTAGTACTCTTTATGAGAGCTTTAGATTCAACACCTGTCACAGTGAAAACTGTTGCTTTGCATACATCCATTATTTCAAGTGTGTAAATGCATCATACAGGGTTGTGTTATGTGCCAGAATAAGGCTAATATGCCTCAGGCAAGCATGTTATACCTATGGGAATGGCCAGGAAGGGCATGATTTTGAGTGTATATAGATTATGCAGGCCTGATTAATGGCAAGTGAATTCTTTTGAGAATGAATGCTCATAGTGAATATATAGATGCACATGTCATTTTATCACCATCAGCAGCAGTAACAGATGTTGCAGCATACATTTGCCACACATGGGAGCCCTAATGTGACTGTGTCAGACAATGCCCACAGTTTTATATTTTTTTCAAAATCTACATCTTGAATGGCATTAAGCATGTTCAATGTTCACCATATTACCCACCATCAAATGGACTAACTGAATGTGCCATACAAACCACGAATAGTGGGTTCAAAAAAAGTTTCTGGTGGTCTCAAAACTGGACTACTGCATGTCCTCACTAGTGTCTTTTTTCTACAAACAACAACTGCTCAGTCACAAGCCATGTTGTAATGAGTTGACAGCCCAGATCTTGGCTTGATCTGGTGTATCCAGATTTATCTACCAATGTCACCAGTAAAATGGACAACACTAAAATGTTGATGGATAGGAAATGACAGGAAAACGGATTCTATTTGAGAGGTGCTGTTAATGTTATGAACTTTCAAGAGAAACTAAAATTGATGCCTGGAGTTCTAGAGGAGCAACTTGGTCCAATGACCTTTCTAGTATGACTAGAGGATGGGCATGTATTGAAAAGACATGTAGATCACATTTGTGTGAATATTCCATCTGAACTGGATATATGCTCCAAAGGAGCTAATCAACCAAGGAGAACTCAGACATAGACTCAGAAGGGACACTTAGCATCGACTACACAGTGTCACATATCCAACAGAGATAGACTAAGAGAGGAAAATCAGCAACCCAGAAGGTCTGTCAGATAATGTTTTCAGAGATGCAAGGAAGCAGAGAGAAGTAAGGCTGAAATTGAGTCCAAGCAACAGCATACAGGCATAAAAATAGACACCACAGGAAAGTAATGCAGTGTCCGACTCTAAGCAAAGGAACTTGCTGAAATGGAATTGCCAGATAATAAAATTAAAGCGGACTCAGATATGAAAGATAATGATGATGATAATATAACTATGACAGGAAGTGAAACAATTCTTGCCTCTGATAACTTGTCTCCTTCTCAGAGTTCTTTTCAAATGCACTGGACAATCACACCTAAGTAAGGGTTTGAAACAATCATATTGTTTAATTAAATTTTGACTAATTGGAGAGGGATGTTGTAACCAGAAACTAAAGAAATAGAAACACCATTTCAGCTATTGTTCAGACATGGAAATACTGTTTTGTCCATATTTTGTATGTGTGAATAAAATGCAGGAGTATTGCTTCTGCAGACAGAAGTCACCAGACTAAAGTGCATTGTTGTTGTTATTACAGACCCCCTTATCAAGTTGTGACAGATTTCATTCTTGATATTCCCACATGTCCAACATAAAACTGCTTTAAAATTATTTTTTGTAAAGAAACAGGAATTACCACTCTTTCAGCATACATAAGTACTTCATCACAAATGACAAAAGGATTATTATTTTCAGTAAAACCTGGTTTATTTTTTCTTTCTTTTCATCTCACTTTTATGTCATTTATCATTTTTAAAATGTAGTCATCTGTCTTGTATTATATTTTAATTGCATCCAAAGTCACAAGTAGTACCTTTATTGTGCTATACAAAACACTTTTTTATTTCATTACAAAAGCCATCACTGTCTTCTTAAAAGGTTACTTAAATCTTGGGGTTAATCGAGACCATCCATCAGCATGTCCCAATTTCTTCAACAGTAAATACTTCATCTTAAAATTATAGTTTAGTAAAATCATTTCTCAACATTGCAACCTGTTGGCAGTAGGTGTTGTAATTTAGAACCAGAAGTAGTCAATAATGGAGTGTAATCTGTTTGCAGAATAAATTTCCTACTGTATATTATTTTAATAAATTTTTTCACTGT